GTGAACTTTAACCCCGGTGAAATGGGCTATTGTTTTGATTTAGTAGGCTTCTTTTTCGTGTGAATAATTACTAGTTTGTCGACAGAGGGAAACATTTAATCGCTCCGGTATTATTGAGGATCTAGTTAAGCGTAAATAATGATCAGAAATCCGGGGTAGCTCTTTAACAGAGATGCTTTCTTCAAGATAAGCTAAAGTTAGCTTTTCGGCTAATGTAGCGTAGCGTAGCTTTGGTAACAACATCGCGAAGATGAGGAGCGCCGTGTAGGACAGACGGAGCGGACGTCGGAAAGCGGCGATTTCCTGCTTGTCAATCATATTATCCCAGGGTTATCCTGTCTGTGTGTCTGGATTACCACAAAACAGAATTTCAGATCAAACCCATCGAAACATTTAAGTCGCTGTTTTAGCTTTGAAGAGGTGGGTGTGCTTCTTTTAAAATCCGCTAGCTGATGATGGTCATGCTTTGACTTTTTCAAATCTGGTTGTTTTCCTGTAATCTTTTACTTAAACAATTTAGAAAATTGTTCCTACGACCTCGCGTGTCTTCGTCTTTGCTGGTCAGTAACACGTGTCTGAACGTCTTTTTAGTGTTGGACCTTTGCATCACTCGCACATTCTTTCGATGGGGGAGGAAAAACCGGACACGCTGGACTTTGTGAAGGATTTTCAGGAGTATCTGAGCCAGCAGACTCAACATGTCAACATGATATCAGGCTCTGTCAGCGGCGTCAAGGAGGCGGATGAGCTGCCAGCAGGTAACAAGAAGCTGTGTTTGTAACGCTCGATTAATTTTGTGTGCTTTGTGGTGCAGTTTGGATCAGGATGAGTCCATCTCAAATCCCCGTAGGCCGTCTGCTCGACCATCTCAGATATGCCTAGAAACCATATGGTTCAAGGATTGGACATATACGATTATTGCTGTGAATGTTTAGCTTCATTTATTAAATAGTTTTGAAGATTTTTTTATATGTCCGACTGACTTGAAATAGCCTGTAAATTTCTCTTACCATAAAAGTGAATCCTGATCTGTAATTTTGAACAGATACATCAAAAATGGTTAAGTATGGCCTTGTTAAAATATGGGAAGAAAAGTTCCATACACCTTTTAACAAGAAAATCACAAAGATTAAAAAAAATGTTCTTCTAATTCAATTTTTACTTCTAGTTTGAGCAAATATGACAGGTACCACAAAAGATTAAAAAAAAAAATACCAGTAGATGTTACTGTCCATGTAGAACAATTTCCAGATGGTGCAGATGGTGCTGTATAACTGACAAGGTAATTTTGTTGAATTATTTTGATATTATTTTTTTTCAAGACCTACTGCACAAGGATGAGTCCTTCCATTCAGGTGAAGTTTAAATTATATAAACTCAGCAAGTACCAATGTAAAATCTGTAAAACAACTATGAGGGAGTAGTAATTGATTTCACGTAAGTAGTCTTGCAAAGCCAAGATGCTGTTGACACTAGAAGTCCAATACAAGACCCTAAACCCCTACCCCAACCCAAACCCTAAAACTGCCACAACTGCTACAGGCAAGCAGGGGTCAGGAAGTTATTACTATTTTGTATGTATGTATGTATTTATTTATTTATTTATTTTTGGTCTATGTAAAAAATCCTTTTAATTTTCCTATAAGCAGACTGCAGTCAGAATGGAATGGATCACCCCTCAGTGGACATGTCATTGGAGGACAACTCAGGGATCCTGGTAGATGGTTTCGAGAGGACCTATGATGGCAAGCTCAAGTGCCGCTACTGTAACTATGCTACCAGAGGCACAGCACGGCTTATTGAACACATTCGAATTCACACAGGTAAGATTAAAACAGCTTATCTCCAGGAGGTAACACTGATGAGATTTCGGTGCTCAGCTTGTTTTCTTTTGAACAGGAGAGAAACCTCACCGCTGCCACCTCTGCCCATTTGCTTCGGCCTACGAGCGTCACCTGGAGGCCCACATGAGATCGCACACTGGCGAGAAGCCTTACAAGTGTGAGCTGTGCTCATTCCGCTGCAGCGATCGTAGCAACTTGTCACACCATCGCCGGAGACGTCACAAACTCCTGCCAATGAAAGGCGCCCGCTCACTGTCCCATAAGAAGATGCTGAGTGTTTTACAGAAAAAAGCCAGTTCATTGGGTTATGGCCGCAGGCTCCTTATCAATTTCAGCCCCCCTTCTATGGTGGTGCACAAGGCTGACAATGTGAACGACTTCTCCCATGAGTTGCCCCACTTACGTCAGGAAACCTATGATAATCAAAGTCGAGCAGGCGAGGACGTTCTCTCCGCAAACCAAAATCACCATCACCATGATATGGTCGTGGATAACCCCCTGAACCAGTTGTCTACTCTGGCAGGGCAGTTGGCCAGTCTCCCCTCAGAGTCCCAGCCCCAGACTCAGCCTTCGATGTCTCCAGGAGCAGAGTCTATCATTGATGAGAAGCCATTCCTTATCCAGCAGCCACACCCTGCCACGGCTCCTGTTGCTGTGACAGCCAATATGGCCCATGCTTCTTCCTCATCCCCAATCCCTCCAGAACCCCGGGCTCCTCCCCACAGTAATTGCAGTCCTGGAGCGGGACCGTGCAGCGAGCACAGTGGGCGCACCAGCACCCCTAGTATCTCCAACAGCCAGCCCAGTACGCCAGCTCCCGGCCTGTCCGCCCCACTTCAGGACCCCCACATGCTGCATCACTGCCAGCACTGTGATATCTACTTCCCTGACAACATCCTCTACACCATTCACATGGGCTGCCATGGCTACGAGAACCCATTCCAGTGCAACATCTGCGGCCACAAGTGCAAGAGCAAGTACGACTTTGCCTGCCACTTTGCACGCGGGCAACACAAGTAATGGATGAATGAGGAAAACTTTAAAAGAACTTTTAATGGACTCCTATGTTTTATTATTTCTATAGTAATATTATTTATTTATCTTTCATTTGGCCTTTATGTAGCCTTGTCTTTGAAAGTTGTACTTAAACAGGAAAATAGAAACATTCAGATGAATTTTGTATAGTTAAAGGTGCCCATTCAAGTGTATTACAAAGGGATGGTCAGTGTTTTTAACAGGTTGAGAATTTATTTGTGACAGCAGTTGCAGTGACATTCACCTACTGTCATTGATCAGGAAAAAGCTTGACTATGTAGTGAAATGTAAGACACTTTATTCAAGGCTACTAAATTTACCATGTTGTTTTCAATCTTCTTTTTCCTTTGGTATAAAAAAGAAAAAGAACTTTGCTCAAAGTGGACCTTCCCCCACAGGCAAACAGATCAGATTTTTTCTACAAGTTAAAACCAGTGACTGCTGAATGAGTAACTTTCAGCTATTTGGCAGTTTCTTGTAGATGATCTTTTAATATTGCATTTGGGAATGGAACAGGTGAAACACCGCAAGAGTGAGGCAACATAGGATTTTGAAATTGATACCCTGGGTGTGTCCTGCAAAAAATCCCAGCTCCCATCCCAGTGACGTTGACCTTAAGGTCAAGGTCAGACGTCAAGTTTCAAAACTTGAAATTGATGCCATAGATACATCTTATAGGATGAGGGGTAGCACTGACAGTTCATTGTTGTATTCACTGAAATCTCTGTAAACAGTACTGCATAATTTTTGCTTGCTTACCAAGAGAGTGAAAGAGGGAAGGTCTACTAGAATATCAAATTTGCATTAGCAACATGTCCCTTTCCCAAAATTAGAAAGTTGTAAAAAAAGAAACTCCACACAAATAAATTCTCAATACTCCTGGAGCTTTAACCAAGTATTGCTCTAATATTACTAACTCAGGAGTGACACTGTTGGCCTTGAGGTATCTTTAAGCCGCCTTGTAGAAATTATTTCAGTGCTTGGTGCATTTTTACAATTTCTTTGCAGTGCCTGATATAGTCACTTTCTTGAGTAGATAGAAAGGACTGTTACTTTGAAGATGAATAGATTTATTGTTACACTAGCCTCTTCTTATTGTAACCAACAGACCCAGAACCTTAGGAAAAAAAGTTTGGCCATTGTAGTTTTCTATGGTAGCCATGATTTATTTTAGATTTTTTGCCAAAATTCTGCTACATGAATGCTGCTAACTAACGTAAGAATCAGTGCCAGCTGTACTATAAAGATGGCATTGAGAGTAAAATCTGGCCAAACTGTGTATCACTGGTTTTTGGTCAGCCAGCTAAGTTGTCAACCTAGACCATATTTGAAGTTGTGTTGTTTTTAAGTTCCTCCAGAGAGTGCCGTTTCCTGAAATCCATCCTAGTAGCTCCACTTACTTTGTCAGAAGGGTTTTGTGGATCCTTTTAACTGCATCATGTCACTTTCTGACCTTTCGATATTGTATGAAGTCACTTTAATATCCAGTATCTCCATGTTTAGGACAGAATTACAAAGTCTTGTGTTTCATGTGAACACATTCAGAATGGCCACGTAGCACTGGGTTGCCACGTTTTAGCCTCTGTGTTTACACACGCTGAGATTTCCAATTCATCATATTGATCCCAGTGATTTTTCTGAATATTTACTGAGTATTGTATTCTGAATGGTTGGATAGATGTTCAGTGTCGAGCAAAACCGTGCCGCAGTTAAGACTGCTCCTTTAGCGAGATTGTCCTGTGTCTTGGGTACTGTTGTCTGTTGCTTAGCAACATGTGTGAAGAACATAGTTATCTGTTTTTAGGACCACCTTGTTACCTTACTTACCAGTAATGGGGGCATCCAGTAATGACTGCCTTATGTTCTCTCATTGTGTCGTAGGTTCGTAGGTAATCGTGAATGTTTAAGCCTTCTGGCGGTGACATCCCTCTGGGATGGTGAATCATTGTGAGATGGATTAATCTAACTAATTTATAAGTAAAGTGTTTTCTAACTGAGTTGTGGTATGTCTTGTTTTTTGTTTTGTTTTTTTGTTTGTTTTGTTTTCAAGAACAAAAATCAACCACTGTCCTTTTATTACAGGACGATGACAGTTGACATAATGAACAAAAACACATATTGTCTTTTGATGATGCCTTTATTCATGTAATGCAAGAAAAGGGAAAAAAAGAAAGGGTGGATAACATTCAGTGTTAGAGTGAAGGCGTGAAGAAGAGGGAGAGAAGTATTGAAGATTTAAGTTTCTTTCTGCTCATCAGTCGCATCTTCCTTTTTCTCAGGGTCTAGAAATAAATTTTAAAAAGTAAGTAATAAGTAATAGTAAGATACTTTGTTCACTTTTTGTTCTTCTAGCACAAGAATTCAAAACAAAGTACAAAGTCGCACTTACCTAAGAGGTGAATGGGACCCACAACCAGAGTTTCACTCTCATGTTCAGACCCCACGTCTCTGGCCACTCGCTTGGTGCATCCGCGGCGGCAGCGGGAGTTGTAGTCGGAGGCTGGACATATTAGGACCTTGCACTGGAGGTACACGTTTTCTGTGGCCCGCAAGAACTGGAAGGCCTTAAATGTGAAACGAGCAAACGGGCTGGTGCCAGTAGTGTAGGCATAGTAGGTGTTATCTATTGGACAACTGAGGATGATAAAGAAAGAGATGTTACTGGAAAATACACGCATTACTGGTTTGTTTTTTGTTTACAAAAAGAGACCATTATTTAGATAAAGTGGTGGAACAATTAATTTATTATAAAATAATGACCTTTTATGAGATCATTGTATCTTTTAAATTGTATCTGTGAAATCCTAATATTTAAAGTAACCATAGCTGGAGTATAAGCTACAGATATCTCTAAAGTATACTAAATTATAGTGCTTATTAAATAT